ACTTCTCCCTCTGAAACGTAAAGGGATGAGAATTCTGGCCTCGAGATCCCACCTAAAACCACCAGAATCTGCGAAAGTGATTTGAGCTTGGTATCTTTTTTTTTTCCATTTGCCTGTTATTTGCCTGTCCATCTACAACAAAGCCTCACTACTAGGGAAATAACAGTATTTTCCTGAGTGCTCAACGAATGCGTGTTTAATTGTTTGTTGCATTGTCTTGTTAACAGTAACAGGTCCACCATTATTTCAAGGTCAGATAACAACTAGGGCCATTAATGCTCCAGGTCACCAAGCAGGACAACAGTAACTCAGAAAGCGCAGCCAAGCACTTGAAACAAATCGGAGCTTTTTAAGGCAAATGAAAGGGATAAAAACATTGCCAGCCAGACCACACAGTTAAAGGGAAAGCTGTATTGCTCGGTGAAGGCCTAAGTAGCTCTGTATTAATTCTGATGGAATAAGCAGCCCCAGAAAGCCGAAAGGTGTCAAGATCACTGTCACCACACAATGTTAAGCACCTAAATAAGCTTCGGGGCTTAGAACGTAGAAACCTTGACTCCTTAGTGCCACTGCAACACTGTTAAAAGTCTTCTGGAAGCCTTTATTAAAAAGGAAAAAATTGAAGTACCTCATTAAAACATTGCAAATTTAAGGTCTGCAGAGCAGAGACATTTCAAAAGCAAAACTCTCTGTTCAGCAGACTTTACAGATGATGGGCACAGCTAACTCGGCTTAAAAAACATGGGGGGGGGAAAAAAAAAAGAGGTCTGACGCCACATTGGCTACTAGTCTGACATCCCGTGCAGTTTAGTTCGCTGTTTCTACACCATCTCCTTCTGGAGCAGAGCAGGCAGAGCACACAGGGCCAGCCTGGGCTGCCTGTAGCTGCAGGGAAGACTCTGGGGCCCCTAGAAGATCAGGCATCCAGTAAATTGTGGCTTTGAAAAACTAATGTTTCCTACCGCCAGGACTGCAGGAATAACCACGTCTTCTGACGGAAAGGCATCCAGAGGAAACGCTGCTCCCACCGCTCTGCAGAATTGACAGTGAGTGGTGTTGAGACACCAGCGCCGGGGCTGCTGTGTCCGAGAACTGCAAGACTGCATGGGAAACGTCCTAACGCCTGATCGTGCTGACCTCGAAACTCCTGAAGATACAGCAGGAGTGGCAAGAAAGATCCACTTTGGCAGGTCGCTCAGTGCCAGAGAGCGCCCTGAGTGAGAGGGCTGCAGAAGGCGGCCAATGTCAGATGGGTGTTACAGGTAGGAAAGATAGGAGTCCTTCTGGGTGCTTCTTCCCCTTTGCTTCATGGGGTGAGCTCATCCCAGAGACAGCTAAGCCAGTACTGAAACGTAAGCTTCGCTCACCTAACGAGCCTCTGCTAATCTCCGCAGACACAAACGTTCTCACTGTTGCAACACTGACGTGGAGAAGAGGAGCGAGAACGTCATCACTGTGAGACAGACGACCGTCAAAGCGG